GTGTTCAAAGTAAGCCGAATAAAACTAGAAGGCATAAAAAAATAAATATACAAGAAATTATACATTTGAGAGAGGCAGTTGGAAGATACGGGAGAAGTTAAAGGAGAGAGTGGGGTTGAAAATTATGCACATGTGGTGTACTCATCTATGAATTTTCAAATAAAATAGAGGCTGGAGTACTTAGAAATGAGAGCATTAAGGAAATTAATTTCTCTGGAGATAAGTAAGTAGATAATTATAATAAATAAGTAAGTAGATATGATTAATATTCAATACTCAAAAAGTCAGGTCCAGAAACATCACCGGGGCCTAATTTGCTCCTAACCATGTTCTAGAATGTTCCCAGTTTCTTGGAGAATGACATGGAAATGATAAATTATTGTAAGGACAACTACATCTTGGGACTTTAAGTACAATATTTTAGGACTAATGCAGCTATGAAGAGAGCCAAACTAAATCCCAGTCCAAAGTGAAAGAAAACATGGAAGTGTCCAGTTAAGTAAGTGAGAGAGTGATGTGCAGATGAGCTAGAGAGAGTAGATTGTAAAGATGATTTTGGCTAAGATGTTCCTCCCTGACCTCACATGAAAATGGATGTCATAGAAGTACCCAGTTCAAAAAGATAGATTGTGGCAACTCTACAGATGTAAAGTGCTTACCACAAGAAAAGAAGTTTGGTAAATGATCACTATCTGGTTTTGATTTGGTTTTGTGTCTTTGTCTGTTTAGTTGGATTGATTTGGTCTTGTATCACAAGGTTTCAGTAAATCAGCCTTGAATTCATAATTCTTCTGCCCCAGCCTTCCAAAAAGCACTTTCCACCATGCCTGTTTTATTTTATTTTTATTATTATTATTATTATTATTATTATTATTATTATTATCATTATCATTATCGCTAGCACTGTGCGAAGAGCCTCGGGTCTGGCTGGTTTTGCCATAATGTTCATAGGCCAACAGTCAAAATTTTAACCACAGATTTTGAGTTTATAAGAGTTTCAAGAGAGAAGCCTAATGTTCCAGAAGATTCTTAAAAGAATTTTTTAAGTTTACTGTTTATATTATCTGGAACCAAATTCTTTCACCCTACATTATGATAAATTATATTCTTTATCACTAATCTAATATCCTTTATTCCAAATACCACTGTTTTAGTTCCTTTTCCTATTGCTGTAAAAAGCTACCCCCAATGATGCAAATGCAAAAAATAATTATTTCGCCTTACAATTCAAAAGCACCCATCATGGCAAGAAAGCCGAAGCACCAGAACATGAAGCAGCTTGTCCAGAAGCAGAGAGCAATAGATGCCTTTTTCCCTCACTGAAAAGCTCACTCACACTGAAAAGCTATTCCCATTGGTTAACCCAGTGAAATACATTCCCATGGGTGTGGCCAGAGGCCTGTCTCTCGGCTGATCCTAGCTCCTCAGCTAACAACTGCATTTTTATGTCTTTCAAAGCAGGGTGATAATTTTAAGTATGGGCAGTCAACATTATGGATATGTGACAATAAAAGGCCAATATAAATCACAACACCTGTTATTTTCAGATCTTAAACTTTTATTCCAAATACGTAAACACAAACTTGTGAGTAACAATTACAATGCTAATGAGTAAAATGTTAAAATACAAAAATAAGTATTGGAACTCATTTTCTTCCATTTGAAAACATTTAACATGGAAATACAGGTCCTCAAATCAAATAATACATTGCATCCTGGTGTCTAAACCTCTCCTAAAGGAGAAAAATAGACTCATGCAAGCCATTAAATAAAATGTATCATTATATGTAAAATAATAATAAAGTGAAATACAATACCACAAAATATCTCCCAAAACTAATTAATTCTGAAGTATTAATTAATTCTGAGGTACTGTGTATATGTTCTCAGAGAACAACAACAACAAAAAAAAAAAAACACAAAGAGAAATGGGTACAAAGTATCAATTTTGACTTAAAACATCTTATCATAGGAAACTAGAACAACTGTCATACAATATCTAAAGGCATGCACATATATAATCAAATGTCACTTGCGAAACTAGTCTGGCTGGCACACACCTGTCATGCCAGTTACTCAGAGGCTGGGACAGGAGGGTTGCAAGTTCAAAGTTAGCCTAGGCAAACAGTGAGACCGTCTCAAAAAGCAAAATGTTTAAAGAAAGCTGAAACTATACCTCAGAAGTAATTTCTTGGGCTAGCATGTGCAAGACCCTGGTTTATTTCTACGATCTGCATGCCTCCTAACTGTAGAATTTGAAATCTGTGTAAAATCATATGAAATCCATATTTTCAACCCCTAACTGCCGCCCCCAAAAATCTTTGTTTTCATGCATATTTTGTGAAAACAAATTGAGACAAAATTAAATTCCAGTCCACCTGAGAAAGAAAGACATCTTTCCCTGCTGCTCTGGCATCTGTGTGCATGTTCATTAATCCCAAGATACTTCTTAACCTCACACCCACCATTCATCAATTTTCGTCAGCTCCCATCACTGCTCCCTGCAGTCACTGCGGAAGGCTGGCAGGAAGACTTGTAGAACCAGGTTTCAAAGCAGAAAAATGCATTGCACTTCTCCAGCCCTGCTCTGTGCTTTGAGGGAAAAAAAAAAAATCCTCCATTCATTTCAGTAAATTTCCCAGGAGTATGTGCCTGCATTTGCAATGGGCATTGTTAAAAATAAAAGTAGAGTATTAGACCAGAGTCTGGGATAATGCAATCTCCACAATGAGAGAAACCAATAGCCACAGGCAGCACTCTACATAGTGAAATCCTGTGGCCAGGTGTTCTTGAGGTTTATCAGAATGTGATCTGATTAAGAGAGTCAGGGAAGGCTGTGCTATAAATCATGCCCTGAGTCAAATGCTTCTGAAATTGTCCTACAATGCCAGCAAGGGGGATTTAATATTGGACAGTATTTACAGTGCTGCCAGTTGACTAACAGAGTGAATGAGGAAAACATTCTACCAAACAGTCCCAGCATGCTCCAGGGAGCGGGACAATGGTGGGAATTTAGCTATTTATTAGTGCACAGACATCTGTAAGGAGTAAATAGGATGAAAGGACTGGTGATTTGGAAGACTACAAAACAAACTACAAAACAAAGAGGGTTTTATAAATAATGCTAAAGTGTTTATATCTTTCTGACAACTAAATTATGAATGTCTTCGATATGCTCCATACAGAAAGCAAAGAAATCTGCCATATCTTTCAACATAAAACACTAAACTCAATCTCTGAATATTGCACCAAATGTGTGCCACTTAGGATAATGTCACTCTTGCACATTTGACAACTAAATTACAAAGCTCTTTGATATACTGTGTACGAAGACTGACAATTACGACCAATAAAATCAAAGGAAGAAAAAAAAACTAATTAACACTAACATATCATTATGACTCACTAGCATATAAAATCCCATGCCTGCTCTTAAATTGCTGGGGCCTGGCAAATGCTGCATTCCTAAGAGCACAAATAGTTTCCAAGTAACTGCAGCCACTAGAGGGTTTATGGGTTCCTTAGAGGTCTGGCTCAATTTTATTCTATCCAAAGGCCCAAGACAAATAGATGACTTTAAATTCCATCCTGAAAGATGTAACTCTCACAATTATAAACTGTAGCAGTTACTTGTAGATCCTAATTAAATTCTGATGCTACTGTATAAACGACATAAACACAGCATGAAGAACACAGAACTAAGAGACAAAAGGCTTATGTTCAAATTCAAAATCAGGTGTTAATTACTTCTCTAACTTCAGGAAAATTATATAAACTCTATCCAATGCCCCCACCCCAGAGAGCTGTGGTGAGATAAACAAGTGTGTGAAAACAAAAGTGATAACATATAAGTAAACACTGTTTATTCCTCTACTCTGAGTAGACTCCATCTAAACTTAACAAATAGAAAAAGTTCGGCACCGACCTGCTACAAAATGTGGGCACACTGAAACTCAGCTGATCATAATGGAAATAACACATGGCAGAATGAGAGGCCTCTATAAAGCCTAGATTTATTCAAATTGACCCATGCTTCATATAGAAAGAATCTGACTGACATTTTCAGCAAGACATTAAATTTGTTTGCAGGCAGTCAGAAAATATGGGTTTTAAAAAATCTGTGACCTTGAGATTATATGAAAAGCATTGAGAATATAAATTACTCTTAATTAAAAGGTAAAACTAAATAAGCAGAGCTGGCTACAGATAGCTAAGCAAACATAAGCTTATCAGATTTAATAGGTAGCTTTAGCTAACAGGTGCATTCTCTCATTCCACCATTGAAAAATTTACGACACTCAATGACCTCCTAGACACTGAAGGTGACATTAGCAATGCCATTTAAACCTCAAAAAAAGCTGATTTTCTGAAACCTGTCTTGATGTAATTTATTTCTGCATAAATGTACCACACAGGAAAATTCAGTGAAAGCCCTTGGTAAAGGTCATCATGTCCTACAAATGTACGGTGTTGTTAGAGAAATTCTAAAAGGCTCCTTTGGAGCTTGTAGAATAAGTCAACATATGTGAAATTTACAAGACAGACCTACAAAATACGAAATGAGAAAAACTGCATTGTATCTCACTACAAAATATAATAAGTTGAGGTGAAAAAAAAAAAAGACATGCCCAAGAAAAATTCCTTTCCTAGCATGCTTGGCTGTTCTTTGACAGCCCTGGCTTTGATTTTCAAGGCACACGCACATCTCCATGCATCCCTGGTCCCCTGCAGTTACCACTGTTCTGAGTTACTGAGCTTTCAAATAACTGATTTCTCCTGTTGCTCTTCTGGACTCACGAAACAGCTCAGACAATCACCTCATCGATTATCCATCCCTGACCAGGTGACAGTACCTCTGGCCTCTCACTCCAACCTCCCCCACCTTGGGTGGTAAGACCAGACCCCCACACACAACTATGTGGCGGGTACTAGGAGAAGACCTCAGTGCAACCCAAAGAAAAACACATTTGCAAACGCCAGCTTCTATGTGCTGGTCCTATTTAGAACTCCATTGAATCTTGGATTTCCAGAGAGTCCTCAATGCCCAGTGGGTCCCCTAATACCTCCTTTGAGTTCGTGGTAAACCCAGAGCTTTTTAATGCATTGTGAGCATTCATAAACTTCTGGAGGTATTTTGAAGTGTATAGCCAGTGATGCTTAAGGACATCTTCCATCTCATAGCATTTGGACTGTCTGGCATTCATTTTCCGGAAGCGTCTAAACAATTTATTACCAGATTCATTTCCCTCACTTGCCCATGCCCCGATAGAACCATCCCTCTCAATAATTTCAGGGACGTGTGCCAGGGTTTTGTGAAAATAATTAGTGATTTTGCCCTCGTATCTATATTTAAACTTGGTAGAAAGAAGCTCAGCAAAACGCTGTGAGTTGAAACTATACTGGCACAGGGACTCTGGACATTCTTTAGCAGGGCATGATGAACGCCACACGGGTTTCATCTTCAGGTAAAGGGCCATCAGCTCCCTGAGAGCTTCATGCCTCTCCTCAGAAGGAATCAACTCACAGACTGCGTCTACAGTCTCTTGGGTCATAAGCCGCCGGGCAAAGTTGCCATTCATCCTCATGATTGGTTTTAGGTTCATCCTTTTCCGGAGATGTTTGTCCAGTGTGGCCTGCCATCTCTTTCTTTCCACTTTAGAGGCGTTGGGGTTTTTGTACACTTCCCCTATCTCCAGCTGGAAAATCTTGTAGAATTCAGCCGCATTGCCAATGTCACAGTGAAGCGCATCGATGGAAGGGACTGTCTCGATGAAAGGTTTAGCGGAAACACCTTTCACCCGGTCCCGGAGTTCCTCCACCGACTCGTGATACGGATTGGACCTCCAGACCTCATAGCGTTCCAGGTTCTCAGCGTGGCTTCTGGTTATGGAGTGGAAGACAAGGTTTTGAGAGGCTTCCAGACGGGTGGCGTCACAAAGGGTACAGATGTAGACTGAGCCGGAAGCCTCCAAGCCTTCTACTTCCCGGACAAGCTTCTCATCATATCCAGTGCCCCTGAAGATGAACTTGAAAGTCCTGAGGATGCCTCCCATCTCCAGCATTAATTCACTGCTCTTCATGGCTTCCCTTTCAGCAATGAGAGGGCTTAGGATAGCAGTCAGGGTCTCGTGGTCAGACTCATCCGCCAGCATAAGACACAACGGCTTGCAACACAGTTCAGAATTGGGCTTGGATTCCTCGAAGACCTTCACATTCTGCGAGCCATGCTCTATCGTAATTCTCATGACTGTGAATGAGAAACGAACCGCCTTTTCCGGAACTGCGGGGCCACTCCCATGCTTCTCGCTCACATCCCCCATTCCGTCACAAGACTCTTTTACCACTACTGTGAAGGGACCGGTCAGGTAGTCATCAAGATCTTGGGATCTCATGCCTTCCAAGATGTCTTCTTCCATGTCCATCAAAGCCGAAACCAAAGCAGAGTCATAGCGGAACCTCTTTGCAATCGTGTCCACTGGGTATTCATCCACGGAGGAAGCAAGCCCAGACAGCCCATCGATGATGCCAACGTCAGTTCTGGAGGACACATTCTTCAGAGGGGGCTGCCACTCAAAGGGGTGGTAGCCCGGCAGAAGGACTTTCTCAGCATTCCGAAGAGCATGCAAAGGCTGAAAAATCTGCCTCCCCGTGATGGCTTTCACAGTCCTGTACATCTTATGGTATTGGCTGCAGCTGAGGAAGGTGTTGACACGGATGGCCAAGCACACAGCTGGCTGCAGACCGGAGCCCTTGCCTTGCATGATGGCCTCTAGCTCATCGGCTTGTCTGTGCTCATTTCTCGCCCTCAGCGCCAGCAGGAACAACGTCAGGCACACAGCCTTCACGTCTCCACCTTCTTCTTTGTCGGCAAACTCTTTGACTTGAATCTTGAGCTCTCTCAGCCGGTGTTTCTGGGCCCTTCGTGTCAGTGACAGGAGATGCTGACGAGGCCGGCCCCCTTTATTAATATGCACCAAAGTCTCTTTAGACTCTTTGTGGCTGGAGACATGGTGGTTGTATTTTTCCAGACTCACTTGCTCGTTGCACTCTTGTGCAGGACACTTTACCATCAGAGAATTCAGGATGCTCAGAAAGGACTTCACTGGAGCCTCCAGGTCAGTAGGGAAGCATGGATAACGGCAAGAGGGACAATAGCTGCCCATGACTTTGAGGCATCGTAGAATGCAGATCCTGCAAAACAGGTGCTTACAGCTGGTCTCCACAGGGTCAGCCAGAATGTGTTCACAGATCTGGCAGGAGATGGACTTCACAAAGTGTGCTGGGAAGTCCACTGAGAGAAGCTTGGTGCTGAGGTGAATCTTACTGCAGTTGGAGATCTTCTTCATGACTTCCTTGCTGTGGACCCTAGCCTGAGCTCTCTTGCGACGTTCTCGTCTGGAGTGACTGAGCACAGTTTTTAATTTCTTGCTGAGATGCACATTGGGCTGTTGCCTCTTCCTCTTGAGTCCCTGACGGGCAGTGAGGCAGATGTCACAGGACGGTGTGTGGGGGTGCCACTCTACAGTCGTGATCCTTGGAAAGTAGACCTGGCAGTGGGCACTGCTGAACTTTCTGTACATCATGATCCAACAGTTGTGGCAGAACTCAGTGGGATGAATAGAGTCGACATCTCCCTTCACATCAATCTGGAAGGCCCTGGCAATGAGGTCTGGCCAGGAAGTGACTCTTCTTTCCTTCTTTCGGAAAAGGCTTTGGGTTTTAGCATCCACGGGCCCGTGGACTGGGTATCTCCGGTTGTGCCCATCGCTCTTGAAAGGATTCCCACAGATGCGGCACAAGTGTCTAAGCCTGGCTTGGTGAATTGCTTTGTCGCTTGACTTCCCATCAGCATGGAATTTCTTTGAAAATTTAGGATGGAGTTTCAATGGTCGTTGAGTCAGAGCTGAATTCTGACTACCAGGTTTATCTGGAACCACTGGAGACTGCTCTAGATGAGGCTTTCCCTCTGAAGAATCCTTCTCCTTTTTTGCTTCTTCAGGTGCCTTTTCAAAGGATCTCACCCTGAACAGCTTAAATTTCCACTCAGAAAATTTGATGTGTGGGTGTTGAATATCATCCGGGCCAGAACTGAGTCTCAGGGTTGGTGGCAAGGAGACAGCCATGTTGGCTAAGCTACCTGGGAACAATAGAGAAAAAAAAGTCAAGCTAAAAAGTATATCAATATCTTATTCTGTATCTTGGAAATAATTGAGATTAACACACTCAAGCTTTCATTTATTAATTCTGTTCAAAAGATATTTATTAAAGCTCCTATTTTAATATGCTGTGTTGGGTACTGATAACATAGCCAAGAATATTCAATCCTTTTCCTAACAGTATTTGGGGCCACTTATACTACAAATAGGCATGATTTTAAATACTATGCATATGTAAAATTTAATTCCCTTTCCACAAAAATTTTAACATCTTTGAAGACAGAGTCTTGGAGTGAGTGATTTATTGATTTCATCTCCCGATGTCCCTGATACCTATTAGGTGATCAATAGTTGTGAGTAAATGCAATGATAAACTGGATACTAAACCAGAGAGAAGTAATATTTTCCACATTGTATTAGCCTCATTACACTAACTGGACAATATATTTCTAGGTTTTTTAAAGCATTCTTCCAGGAGATTTGTTGTTTATTTCTTCCAAACGGGTCATAAAGAGATGATAAAGCTACAAACCCAAAGAAACTAATTACTCACTACTTGAAAGGATGAAGTGAATTTAGAGCGTTATGGATGCAAACTAATAATAAGTATCATGGATAGTAATTATGCTTACAATTTTAATTAGTGAATGCTGCTGTAAATTAGAAGGCTGAGTGTACATTAGAAACAAAGCCACGGAGCTCTTTAAACCTGCAACAAGCCGTAGCATGAGCATGCTAAGAAGCTGAAGGACTTTTAAGATGCAAACTTCAGGTAGCTACAGACAAAACTCACACAGGTCATCCTGAAAGTCACTGCAGAAGAAAGGCCACCCAGCACAACAGTTTGTAATCAGAAGAGATACGAGGAACAACTTTCTTCTGGTTAAAAATATTATGGATGAGGGAGATGATGTAGAAATACTTGTTTTTAATTACAAACAAGCATGATGGTGCATATCTATTATACCAGCACTACGGAGAAGGGACAGAAGGATCAATACACGTTTGCGACCAGCCTGGTCGACCCTTTAGAGTTCTAGGCCACCCTGGGCTACATAATGAGACTTTGTCTTAAGTAATAATAATAATAAAACAACAATAATGAATAAAATGATATGCCAATTGTAGTGTGAATATCAGTCACTATGTAGAAGAAATGCAAACAGTGCCATTTGAGTATCCACTAAACCTAAATTAGACCAAATGTCCCATAATTCCTTAGTTCATAATATACCATCCCATCCTTGCTTCCCAAATGTGTCTAGGTCAACTCTTTTGACCTACAGGTTATAAGTAGAAACTCATTTTCCCCTCAACAGATTAACCAGCTCAATGAATTTTATGTAGTCAGGAAGACAGTCCCTCAAATGAACACATTTTGTCCAGAAGTGGAACTAGGGCATCAGGGGAGAAGTGATGAGTTAAGGACTGGTCCTGGATCCTGCTAGCAACATTGCTTTTGAATTCTTCACATTAAACTAACATATTTTGTTCCATGTGTACCAAAGTTTTTTTTTTCATTAAAATTAAAGACAAATTTCTAAGACTTGATTGATAAACATAGTCCCACTGTTCTGAATGCAGGACTGTGCGAGCTAAACAATTCTAAAAACATTTCAAAGGTCTCAAGAACCCCAAAGGTATTTCAAGTGACACCAAACAAAGGCCTCAAAGTTGCTTTCTGATCAATTGACTCTTCTTTCTTTCTTGTAATACATGTGCGACCGTTCTCTGTGTTCCTCGCCTTTGGCTTGAACTAAATGCCATTTTTACCACATTAAATATTGATCTTTTACATTCAGTAAGTCACCTTCCTCTGACTCCCACTAGCCTGAAACACCATGACCAAACCCACCAAACACAGCTGTTGAAGTGTTTCCTGTAATAGTGTAGTTATTAGCCACAGCTTGTCAAATCAGACGTACTTATTAGATTATTTTACAACTTAAATCATAAAGTTTGTTCAAACTTTTGAAATGGAATGGAGATGGAAACCATGTGATATATTTTAAGAGAATGTATACAAAGATGCCAAGAAGGAGTTTCTGTGGAGGCTACATGTCTTATTTGGGAGAATACAGAACTTTAAAGTATCTGATTTAGGAAGTCCTTGTAATTCCCCCAATTATCAAAGATTAGACTATTGGTACCACTAATTTATAAAGAAAGCATGAAGAAATTAAGATACCTTCACATACCCTTGAGAGGAGTATAAATGTAAATGAGCATAAAACGTCCAGTGACATTTTAGTAAAGCCTTTTAAAAGTTAAGATATTTTGTCTTTAGTGCAATAAATTTCCTTTGAGTTATTCTATAGTTATTCTATAGAAATACCTCCACAAGTATATAAAGCCTGGGGGAGACTTATTTAAAAAGTTGTTAGCTACTTTGAAAAACAGAAAATAATATAGATAATTGCCAAAGTGGCATTATTAAATAAATTATGATCCATATATAGAATAGAAACTACATTGTGTGTACATTATACAGATGTGTGATTTCTCTATGCATAAATAAACAAAATATGTCCATGTGCAAAAAGATAAGACAACGAACATAACAAATACAACAGGCTCTTATTTCTGCATACATATTCAGATTTTATGCACATGGAAAGTACAGGAATTCTAAAAATTTGTGCACTAAAATCTTATTAGTGCTTAATCACTGAAAAATAGTTAGAATTAAGAAAAGGGTCTCTTAATATTTTTTGTTTGAAGTTTCCACACAACATGTTTTTTTTTTAGTTTTATGACCAATTCAGCTCAAATAAAACTTGCTCAAGACTAGATTTGTAGGTATTTATGATATTTTTATATTCTTGTAATTGTTCTTCAAAAAGAGAAAAGGCTTAAGACCTACCTAAGTCTTAAATCCAACCAGCATCTTTATTGTTGTTTATTTTCTATTAAAGATGTCTTAGGTAGAGAGGACTCTTGCTAAAATGCTCAATTCCTACCCAGAAAGGCAAAGAGGCTAGACATCAGACAAAGGAGAAAAGAGGGAACAAGTCAGGAGCCTGACACAAAGGACCTCTGAAAAGCTCTGCCTTGCAGACTATCTATGTAAATACTGAGACTTATGGGCAACCTTTGGGCAGAGTGCAGGGAATCTTAGGAAAGAAGTGGGAAATAGTAAGGTCTGGAGAGGACAGGAACTCCATAAGGAGAGCAACAGAACCAAGAAAATCTGAGCACAGGGGTCTCAGTCTGAGACTGCTATTCCAACCAAGGACTATGCATGGAGATAACCTAAGATCCCTGCACAGATGTAGCCCATGGCAGTTCAGTATCCAAGTGGGTTCCATTGTAATAGGAACAGGGACTGTCTCTGATATGAACTGATTGGCCTGCTCTTTAATTACCTCCACCTGAAGGGGAGGCAGCATTACCAGGCCACAGAATAGGACAATGCAGCCACTCGTGATGAGACCAAATTGACTAGGATCAGAAGGAAGGAAAAGAAGACCTCCCCTATCAGTGGACTTGGGGAGGGGCATGCATGCAGAGGGTAGAGGAAGGGAGGGATAAAAAAAAAGATGTCTCAGGTAGACTAACATCTAACCTGTAGACAATATGAAGCTAGGACCATGGCAGGATAGTTTCATACTCATAATTTGAAATTCTTCCAATGCTCATTGTTTTCTCTTGTAGCAAAAGGTCTGAGGGAAGACACCTCGGAGTCTAAAGACAGAGGGTCTGATGCTGTCTCAGCTCTATCCCAGGCAGCACTATCACCTGTCTATTGCTATCCTCTGCCAGGGCTGCACTGTCCTTCCTTTCATCGCCCACGAACTCTGTGAATCCAGCCTGAAGTGGTATGGATGAGGCAAAGCTTAGATGTCTGGAAAATGTACCAAGTGTAGCAGCAACTCATTTCTGACTGCAACACATGCATTCCCCTGCTTGGCTCACCATCTCCTGCAAACAGCTACTTCATCACTGATTAGCCAGGCAGCTCCAGAGACCGACATGTCTCTTTCTCCCTGGCGCTGAGATTGCAAGAATGGAACATTACACCCAGCCATTTTACAGAGGTTTGGGGGAATCCCACTCGGGTCTTCATGCGTGCAGACACTTTATTGACTAAGCTATCTTCCCAGTCCAAAATACACAATTTCTGTGCACCCAAGTGTGGTCCCTCTTTGTCACACCATCCCACTCCTTTTTTCTCTCTACAGATTCTACATTTGATTATCTGCCACACAGCATGCAAAAAAACCCACATTTTTAGCATCTACGAAACAACCACAATATTCTTGCCCTTCTTCCAGGGGATCCCTCATTGAACCACGTTAGAAAGAAATGTGTAGTCGCTCCCCTATGTTACACAGCACATGAGCATAACCTCAGAGTAGGGTCTCTTCCACGGAAATTCTCAAAATTAATTTGAGTCAGAATCACTACAGAGATTGTTTTCCAAAACATGCATATCATTAGCTCCCAGAGAGTCTGCCTATTTGCTCAGGATGGAATCCCGAAACTGCGTTTTTAAAAAAGCATTGCAATGGTCCCGATGAAGTGGCATACAGGCCGCATTTTCAGAAACACTGGACTTGTCAGTTCAGGAAACGTCAGGCCCCAGTGGGGAAACCTGGGAAATTGCACATTGGGTCCCAGCCTGGAATTCTTTGCTCCTGATTGCTTTTCCTTGCCTGAGCTAGCACTGTGTTAGTTCCTCTCTCCTTCGCAGTCATCCAAGCAGCTCTCCCTAAGCTCTCCTCCGCCAGCAGCACTCACTTATACCGACTTAGATGTGTTCTATCTAGGAGCCTGCCATGTCTCTCGGCTCGGCCTTCTATTCCTTTTCTGTCTTTCATTCATTCCAAACAAAAAAGGAATCAGTTCCAGCTTTCTTCATCCCTCCCTTCGCTGCCTGCAAGGAAAACATCTCTCATAGTCCTGCTTAGAAACACAAAAATAGAATAAATATTTTGGCTCAAGGCATGAAAAATACAAGAATTACC